CTGCATTGGTCTGCAATCCTTCAGCACCTAAACCCCCAAGCCCTAAACCCCTGAACCCCTGAAGCTTTGAACCCCTGAAGCCCTAAATCCCTGAACCCCTGAAGCCCTAAACCCCTGAAGCCCTGAAGCAGTAAACCCCTGAACCCCTGAAGCCCTAAACCCCTGAACTAAAAAAAGGGGCCTTAATAATTAGAATAGGGTTTCTTTATTTTGTACTATAATTATAACAAGGAACCCCCAGAACCCTATTCAAATTACTAAGACCCCTACATTAAACATTCATGTTGCGCCTAATTCGGCTTTTTTGCTCAAGGTTCGAGGGTTTGCTTCCCTACGACTCGGCCCCGCAAGCGCGTAAGCACAACAACTCTCAAACCCAAGCCTAGTATAGCATAGTCATAGTATAGTCTAGTATAGTCATAGTATAGCATAGTATAGTACAGTATAGTATAGTATAGTACAGTATGGTATAGTATAGTACAGTATAGTAATAGTAATCGTATAGCATAGTATAGTAGAGTATAGCTTCTGAACCCTGAACCTTTTCAATTCTTAAGCTCTTCTGAAAACCCTGGCACCCTCAAACTTCCAGGAGTCAGGAATGCCAGAAGATAAGACTTGATTTTGAACGGTAGCTCCTCAATGAAGGGTGCCTGATCTGAGAAAACCAAGACAAGCATCCAAGCCGTGTACAGCCCTTTTATAAAGCCGTCTGAAGCCGCTACTAGATCCGGAGAGTGTATAAACCCTATACCCTGAACCTTCAAAATTCATTCTTTACTATATTATACTATACTCTACTATACTATTACTATACTATCACTTTTCTATTAGTGTACTATTACACTACTATTACACTACTATTACTATACTATTACTATACAAAACTATACTATGCGGTGAGTTCAGGCCTAAGCTTGGCTGTGCGCCCCGGCGAGCGCGTGGGCATCTGTGGCCGCACAGGCAGCGGGAAGTCCACGCTGTCCCTTGGAGCAGGCTTTGTGGGGCTTTAGGGTTTAGGGTTTAGGGATTTTAGGCTTTGTGGGGCTTTAGGGTTTAGGGTTTAGGGATTTTAGGCTTTGTGGGCTTTAGGGTTTAGGGTTTAGGGATTTTAGGCTTTGTGGGGCTTTAGGGTTTAGGGTTTAGGATTTAGGATTTAGGGTTTGGCGCTTTAGGGCGTACCTTAAGCTACCAAAGCCTACATATTTGTAGGGTCCTGATAAATCTCATTTTAGGGTTTATAGTAATTAGAGACGGACAACAACATCGGCTATGGTTTTTTGAGGTACGTGGTTCGGACTTTGGGTTTACGGAGGTCCTTAAGGCCCTTTCCTCTCTATGTGTACATGGCTTCTGTGTCTATGGCTCGTTTGAAGTACACAACCAAACCCTAATCCCTAAACCCGAAACCATAAAAACCCGAAGCCCTAAACCCCCAAACCCTAAACCCTAAACCCTAAACCCCTAAACCCTAAAACCCTAAAGCCCTAATCCCCTAAACCCTAAACCCTAAACCCACCGAGGTTCCTTGCGTGCTTCAGGATGGTCGAAGCAGAGGAGGGCGAGATTCACGTCTGGGGACACTGGGTTAAGGAGTTTAGGGTTTAGGGTTTAGGATTTGGGCTTTAGGGTTTGGGGTTCAGGGTTTAGGGTTTAGGGTGTAGGGTTTGGGCTGTTAAGGTTTTGGGGTTTAGGGGTCAGGGTTTAGGTTTGAGTGTTTTCAGTGGTTCGGAGTGGGGGTCGGG